TTAGAGCGGGAGCATTTCCGTAGGATCATCAACGCGTTCCGATACTACGGGTAACGAAATGTGCTACCTCACATACACGGCCGTGTGGCCCAGCTCTGTGATGGGATGTTGCCCTTATAAGTCCTGAAAAAAAATAGTAGCTCCTACTGGTAAAGAAACGCACGTGGTGTTTTGCTTAGTCGATTGTTGGGGAAATTTTTGAAGGACTTGTAAATTTGCAGAAGAAATAAGGTCGTCTGAAAGCACCAATGGATGCCATTTTGCTATAACTAGTTGTCTAGGCATTTGTTGAGTCAGAAAAGTGCTAGATAGCCCTTTTGTGAATGAGGTAAATGAAAGAAAAAACCCGCAACAACCCAACCCCTGACTTGTTACCTGAATCTATAGAATGAAGAAGAAAACATAAGTAATTCAGATGGTGGAGGAGAAAAAACAGAGTTGTCTGAAAAAATCTGGTCCTTAACAGTATTTTGGGGAAAGGGAGGAGTTATTTTATGCCTGGATCAGTTACGCAATCAATTTCATAGTACTCATAGTTGAGGCTGTTAAAAGAAGGCAATTTAATGCCTTAGTGGGGCCACCAAAACTCCAGCATGGGTTGGCCCTGACCGTTATGATTCCTTCAGAAGCAATTGGTTTTGAGGATCCTGCTTTCAGCTGCCTCATTTCCGCTCCACATTCCAGTTTTTCTGTAGCCAAAGGTTGCTGTGATATTCAGCTGTTTTATCACATTTAAATTGTATTTGTGAAATGATCTGGCTATTCTTATGGGCTTGCGGGTTGATTGTTTACGAAGTTGTATCATTTTGTATATCCGTGTATTAGAGGTTGTGATCACTTGTGCTGGAAATGAGAGGCTGGGGATGGAGCTGTGAAACAGTGGTCCTCTTAAACTGTAACGCATTGTTAAAAGGGTGGTAATGTGGAACTAGAGCTTAAAACAGTCATTTTGCCTATAAAATTCTTGAGAGCTTGTTCTCTAGTCAGGAATTATGAAGTCTGACCACTTCCTGAGTTGAAAGAATTGGATAGTTGTAATTGGAGTAGCTTTGAGCGAATTCTTATTTACCTATAATATGTGTTGCTGCTAAATATCTGAAGGCTTTAATATTTTTTTTTTTCTTCCTAGAACTAATATGCATGAAAGGGTGAACAGAACAGAGAGACAGTTTAGATCTCTCCCAGATAACCAACAGAGTCTTCTTCCTCAATTCCTTCCTCACCTTGATAAGATTCGGAAGTGTGTTGATCATAATCAAGAGATGCTACAGACCATTGTCAATGGCTTCATTCATATGTTTGAAAACAAAGAATATGGAGATGTATGTTAAAATGAACTTTTTCATACTTAAAAACCAAATTCTATACTCTGGGATTTTCTATCTCTGCCCTGGTTACATTTTAAAGTTAATTTTTCAGTTAACTATATAGACCATAAATGGTATTGTATACATTATCGTAGGTAATTGTATGTTATGGCATCCTAAATTAGTTAAATTTTAGGTAGTCCAAGTATTCTGAATGTTAGCATTTGTAAAATTTAGTGCAATTTTTGCACTACTTACCTGCCTTTCAATGTAGCATCTAGCAAACAAAGAAACAAAAACTTGCACTCAGACTTAAAAGACTGTCAGTGATGGAAACTGAAGTCTTTTTGGTATCTGCAGGCTAGATACAGTTCTGGGCAGCTCTAGTGTGAGTTTTCCATGCTGCATCAGTAGCATAGAGGGATCCCTCTTACGGTGAGCAGTTCAGTCTCATCACTAGTGAAGTCCTGATCCTTTCCTGAACAACTACTAGTTGTGCTCAGTTATGCCATACTGTATGTTGGTTTTGTGATTTGGACCCTGGTCTCTTGGGGGCTGAACTGAGACCACCAAACAATCCATTCAACAGGGCTGGATTTGAGCCCTTGTCCCAGAATTGAGAGGTAAATACTTTGGCAATTAAAACTCCCAACAGCCCTAATACCATGACTTCTTGACTGTTTCTATTTTATTTTCTGTTTTTCAAGATTAAAGATACTTGGTGCATTTTTCATTAATTATTTTTTTCCCCGCTTTAATCAGGTAAGAGGGAAGATTACTCCAGCTTCAACATTTGACATGGATAAATTAAAATCAACTTTGAAACAATTTGTGAGAGACTGGAGTGAAGAGGGGAAGCCTGAGAGAGATTCCTGCTACCAGCCAATAGTTAGTGAAATTGTAAAGAACTTTCCAAAAGAAAGATGGTAAACTAGTATTTTAAGACTTACTTTTATGTGGGAATACGCTGTTGTACAAAAATAACAGAAGTTTTTATGGCGTAAGAAAAGGCTTGGTTTTAAAAATACAGAAATTACTGTGCTTGCTGTGGAATTCATTGTTTAATGGAGAAAGTTTGCTTTTAGTTGAAGGTATTGGAAAAGAGCAGAATCATAAAATTGACATGGAATTATAATAATACAAATGCTTAACTTTAGCCTTTATTTCAGACAGCTAATACAATGCAAGTCTTGTAAAAACTCTGTTGCATGTGTGCACATACCTTTGTAACTGCATTAGCTTATTCAGAAATGCTACCAAAATACTAATTGTTGTGGGGGTTTGTGCTGGTTTTGTCTGGGATAGAACTAATTTTCTTCATAGTAGCTAGTGTGGGGCTTTGTTTTGGATTTGTGCTGGAAACAGTGTTGATAGCACACTGATGTTTTAGTTATTGCTGAGCAGTGCTTACACAGAGTCAAGTCCTTTTTTGCTTCTCCCACCCCCCCACCAGCAAGTAGGCTGGGGGTGCACAAGAAGCTGGAAGGGGACACAGCTGGGACAGCTGACCCCAAATGACAAAAGGGATATTCCATACGGTATGACATCATACTCAGCAATATATGAGTCCCCCTTTCTTGTGGGGGACATCAATTTACCGGATGTCTGCTGAAAATATAACACAACAGAGAGGAAATAGTCTAGGA